TTGCGAACTTATTCCTGTCCTTTAAGTTTTACGAAGTAAAAGTAGTGACAATTTTTTTAAAAACACAACAAATTTATTGCCTTGAGTTTAAAAAGTAAGTTCTCCATAAATTTTTTATTATTTTGTTTTTGCACATTTTTTTTATTTGAGTGGGATTCATAAAGCTACTTAAAAAAATTTACTTAAAAAACCAAAAAAAAAAAAGATATTTGAAAGGAAAATGTTTCCTATAAGTACATTAATTTTAAATATCTTAATTTAAAAACAAACAAAAAAACATATACTTGCTATATTTAACACGCAATTGCTATAATATATAATTTTAGCATGAAAGTAATAAAATAGAATAAATAATGTAGATAATAAAAATTCAATCCAACTTTATAACTTAAATCGGAATATTTGCCATAATATAAACAAAGTTAGTATAATTTTCAATCTCAGATAAAATAACTTAGCGTTGATCTTTTGTAACAAACTCAGGTACCAAATATAAAAGTTGGATTGTATTTTCATTTTAAAAAATTTGGAAAACCACTAAATATTTAAGACAATAAGGTTTTTTGAAAAGTGGCCGGGAATTGGTTTTACCCAAAGACCTTTAAATTAATTTTTTTTTGCCGGCCTTTTATAAATTGAGGTTGGCAAATTATTGCTGACCTCATTTTTCCTAATTCCAAGGGTTGTATATATATATATATATATATATATATATATATATATATATATATATATATATATATATATATATATATATATATATATATATATATATATATATATATATATATATTAACAATTCCACAACAAAGAGGAGGAAAAAAAAGTAAAAAGTTATGAAAACACATACTAAACTTTTTTTTATAACTGTTTAAAAATACTTTAAAGCAAAAAAGTTATTTAAAAAAATCACTTTATCATACCATACCATGGTTTTAAGGTTGTATAAACGTGTTTTGATGCTTATTTACAGTTTTGTTGGATAGCGTTCAAAATTATATCGTATATCCATAATTAAGAACTTTGGTAATACTATAATGCATTTTTTGAACATAATATACATGGTTTTTAATTATTATTTATACTTTTTTCTTATATCATTGATGTTGTTTTCTTATATCATTGTGTTGTTTTATTTGTTGTTTTTAAACATCAGATTTTTTGTTACAATTGTCATGGTTGCAACCATCATGACTAAAAAAAAAAAAAATGCTAATAAAACTTCAAGTAAAAACTATGAAACTCAGCATATAATAGCATCAATATGCGCTAAATACACACACAATGATTTTTTTTTTTTTACAATGCCATTTGCTGCATTAAGTCTGACAAAGTTGTTTTTTCAAAATTGGTAAAAATTAAGCAATACGACCATCACACTACGTAGAGTTTTTGAAAAAAGTTTAGGACTTTAATGCTGTAATTTTTACATACTATGATAATATTTCTAGAAAGTTTCAAGTTATTTCCATTTTCAGTTTGTTTTTAATAGCTTAAAGAGCGTCAAATGTTACGACCGCCACTCTCGCAGAATTGCCCATACATACATACATACATATATATATATATATATATATATATATATATATATATATATATATATATATATATATATATATATATATATATACACACACATACATGTTATAATGATAATATTATTCATATTATAATGATAATATAAATACTTTCTCACCTGAAATGAAGCAGTAGCATTAAACTGAAATACAATTGAGAGTTTTTTTACCGTTGAAATGTATTTATAGTATGAAAATTATGATTCATTAGTAATTCACTCATGAAATGAGTAATTAACAAAAAATAAATATAAATTTTTATCATATAATCAGGCCTTGTATTAAATAAAAAATGCAGAACGCATTAGTCTACTATGAATTTTTTTTAATTTTGAAAGACTAACTTTTTTAAATTACTGCAATACTATTAATTACCGTAAAATAAGTTAAATGTTACTCATCTTGTTTTTTATTATTACTATTAGGGAATGTTTATTTTCTTTCATTTTCTTTTTTTTTTTTAGTTATATTTAATAATTAAATTTAATATTGCACTTTTAAAAATGTTTAATATATTTTTTTAAATGTTTAATTTTTTTTTTCTTAACATTTGTATAAATGATTCTTTCTTAGATTTTTAATTGCCACTAAAAATCATTTTTAGTGGCAATTAAATTGCAAAGCCACTAAAAATGATTTTTAGTGGCTTTGCAACTAAAAATAATTTTTATTAAAAAAAAAAAAAAAATAGAGAGTAACAACTAAAAAAATATTTTATTTACTTTATTTATTAAAAGTTTATTTTTTTTATTAGCGATTTTGTTGTGAAAGCAAAGATTATTTTTTCAAACACCATTTATTAATATTATATCGCTGTATATATCATTTATTAAAAATAATCACTACGCTTTAACTTGTGTATACAAAAAATTTAACTTATGTTAAGCCTTGAAGCACGTTTATTAAAAAGTTAATTTTGGTTTAGGAAAGAAAAAAATTGCGATAAAAATGGGCTGATTTTTTTTTAAGAATAAAGAAAATTAAAATTTTTTTATGTTATTTCACCTCCCCAAGGCCAAGAAGGCCACTACAGACGAGGAGGCTACTTAATTGTGGTTATAATCCTCTCTCAACTCTATAAATCAGAAACACAAACCTTGTCGAACAAGGCCGCTGCATGGAGAAATAAGTTAAACGCGATGCTACCAGGGATGTGGTGGGGATTGAACTTGGAACCTCATGCCTATGAAGCGAGTGCTTTACCACTACTCCACTCTCTTATTGGGCAAATATTGGACAATATTTATTTCAATTTTCAAATAAATTTGACAGTTAAGTTAAACCTAAGATTTAACTTTAATTTTATTAAACTTAAGTAAATTTTTTTATTCAGAACTAAATTATATATTTTTCAAATCAAAATTAAGTTATACATTTTTATTAGAATAAAACTATACATTTTTATTAAATTAGTTTTAAATTAAATCGTATATTTTTTATCAGAGTTAAATTATATTATAATGATCATTACTACAAACTTAAAGTATTAGCATTTTTCAATCAAAAAAATCAATCATTGCAATATATATATATATATATATATATATATATATATATATATATATATATATATATATATATATATATATATATATATATATATATATATATATATATATATATATATATATTTATATATATATATATATATATATATATATATATATATATATATATGTATATATATATATATATATATATGTATATATATATATGTATATATATATATATGTATATATGTATATATATATATAATAATAGAAATAAATATCATAATATAAAATAAAGATAATTAAATATTTAACTTTTTTTTATTATTAATTTATTTTTTATTATTAAATAGAAATTTTAGTAATTTTTTTTAATTCCAATCAAAAATTGTATAAATATTATTATACTTTTCTGCTTGCAAGATTATAAATAAAGGTTGTTTTTTTTTTTTTCTCTAGTTTTTTTTATTTTAATGTTTCATTAAAAAACTTCATATATACAAAAAAAGTTGTAGTTAGCTATAAACATTTTTTTTTTCTGTTACTAGATATTTCGATAAAATAATAGTGCTTAAATCTAACATAATTGTCATTCAAACTTTTGTAACAAACTTTTTTACTTTTATCATTATTCAAAAGTTAATGTAGTTTTTTTATAAAATTAAATACTTCTTTTATCTTACCACTTACAGAATAATATAAAAGTTAAAAAATGATAAAAAGTTGCCTAATGGAAATTGTTCTAGGCGTACGTAAAATTGCTTAATGTGTACGTAAATTTCCAAAAAACAAGGCCTGATATTTACAAAATGATAATGGCAATGTGTTTTTTTATTCAAAACATGTTTTTAAGGCTGTTTTTACTAAACTTCAAAAAATGACTTGAAATCTGATTTTTCAAGAATGAATTCATTTCAAGTTTTTTTCTTGCATCGCACTTTAGTCAAACTTCAGATTTGACATAACTTGAAAATTTAAATTTGTTTTTTGTGTTTTTGCTTTCTCAAGCTGGCTTTTTGCTTTCTCAAGCTGGCTTTTTAAGTTTAACTTGAAAACATCTGGATTTTAAGTATACTTTGAGTTCAAGTTCAATCTTTGCATTTGCTCAATTCAAATTTCAGATTTGAAATATGACTTCAAATTTCAAATTCCTTTCTAGCATTTCCCCCTAAATACTCCAAAAAATCAAATTCTATTGATCTAACAGAATAACAAAGCATTTAAAGCTGTTAATCAACTGCAATCCAAGACACACACACTACATAGCAAGCAGACTTGAATGCTCTTATGTTACTATAGAATACTAATTGCATGAAATAGGAAAGACTCTGTCTTTAAATACCACATAAGCTGAATGTCAGCAAAGGTGTTGGTTTTGGTTTGGTGGGTTGCGCTCTGCATTGGGAACTTCTTTTATTAAAAACTAAAAGTATGTATTTAACTCAACTTGCTTCAAGTAAAATTATTAAAAAATTGTAAATGGGCCCATTTTTCACAAGTTTCACTTGAAGCTTGTTAAGTCCTGATCTGCAAAATGAGTTTACGCCAGGAAGATCATTAAGTTGTGAAAAATAGAAGTTTTGTTATCAATAAAAAATTAAAGTGTTTTTAATGATACCAATATTTTTAATTTTTTTATTTTTTATTTTTATAACACACTCTGATTAAATTAAAATTGGAATACAAAATATTTATATGTGAGTACCAAATAATTATAAACAAATAATGGTTATAGGACTTTTTGTTAATTAAATTTAATTTTTATAAATATACGCGCAAATATACATATTTTTTGAGTTATTAAAAAAATAAATTGTGTATATCTGGATTACATATTTATGAATACTTTGTAATATTTTATATGTTAATCTTTAATCTAATAATCTGATGTTAATCTTGATATGATTTTATTGTGAATACCATCTTTTTTTAGTTATGCATGGATTCTACAAGATTTTCTTGGAATTTGTTTTTGCATCTCATTAATAAAGATGATTAAATTACCAAACCTGAAGATTAGTACTATTCTTTTGATAGCTTTGTTAGTTTATGATATTTTCTTTGTGTTCATAACACCACTGTTCTCTGCTCGTGGAAAAAGTGTTATGGTGGAGGTTGCGACAGGTTATTCATTGTTTGCTTTCTTTCATTTCTTTGCGTATCTATTTTATTAAATATCTAGGTTTCAAAATAAGTGCCGGACATAGACACCTCTAGAACCATTTTTGAGTCCTATTGAAGGGGGGACAACCAATCATAAATCATTTTTTCTGGTATGAACAGTCAGCTGCCCTGTTTTAGCAGATCTTAAGAATGGTCCAATGGGCAATGTCTGACACTTATTTCAAACCCTGAATATCTAGTATCTGAATATATATATCAGGCTTGGTCGGGAAGCGAGAGCGATCGCTCTCGATTGCTGACCACGTAAATAATATTTAGTTGCAAAAAGCTGGCCAGATTTTTTAGTCGTTTTGAGAACATTTTAAAAAGCAAAAAAAAAAAAATGATTAATTGGATCGATGAGAGACAATTACAAAAAAATAATAATAATAAGCAGATAAATTATCTTTAAACGCAAAAAAACTTAAAGCTTAAGAAATTACATTTAGAACAAATATTTTCGAAACATCGCTCTTTTATAATTTTTTTTTATAAAATTAAGCAATGTTTTTTATATAAAGTAACAACTTACAATTGTTTTAAAGGGAAATAAATATTCTTTATTTAACTAAGTTTGCAAGTTTTAGTTTTACTTAAGCTAAATTATTTTATAAATTTTTTTAATACCTATTTTATGTTTCGCGTAGTTTGAGAAGTTTAACATATTTGAAGCGATTCTTTTTAGTAAGATAAACAAATGAAATAATTAAATCATTGAATTACAATAGGGATTAAATTATCAAGATAGAAATCAACTAAAAAGGTTAAAAATACTTAATGACCAGAAAGCGAAACTGCTTCACAATATCGCTGATGATGTTTAGTGAGTGGGCTTTTTAATTTTAATTAGTATTTAAAGCAGAAAAAAAGTATAACGACTTTTAAGAATGGCAACTTAAGCAAAAATAATTAGAGTTAGTAAACCAATATCTAGAAACTTTTCTTTATATCTAATTATTTGCTATATATATTTGTGTTCTGTCGTGACCTCAGGCGCGATGCTTGTTCACCCGCGAGTTACTTTTATGCATTGTTTGTGTTTATATGTTTGTTACATAATTAGTTTTATTAACTTTAACGATTATAACTTCATTGAAAACGCAATTATTTTTGTAAGCCTTTGTTTAAATCATAAAAATTGCTTTAAAAGATTCATTACGATAAAAAACAAATACACAAAATTACATTTACATAAAGAATACAATCTCTTTTAAAATGAAAAATAAGAATATACTAATAAAATCTATGATTTATAATAAACTTTTAAAATTTTAACAATTTAATTAATATATATTTAAAACATTTATTTTGGTAAACAAATAATATATATTCTTAAAACAATGCTAGAATTCTCAAAACGTAACAAATCGTGAATAATACGATTTCTAAAACATTTTAACAGAATACTCTAGAACTTTATTTCGCTTAATCAACGTATTTTTTGAACCAATAGAATTAGTTTGTTCGTTAATTTGGCGGGTTTTTAGTGTTCGCAAATATTCTTTTTATTCTTATTATTTATTCTTTCGCACAAAGATGTTTTGAGAACATTCAAGTTTTTTATGTTTCCATGTATGTCCTTAAAACAAAAATTTTTTGCAGGCTTATTAACGCGCTCTTTAAAACAACAGTTTATGGGAAAAACTTTGTGACTATATATATATATATATATATATATATATATATATATATATATATATATATATATATATATATAGTCACAAAGTTTTTCCCATAAACTGTTGTTTTAAAGAGCGCGTTAATAAGCCTGCAAAAAATTTTTGTTTTAAGGACATACATGGAAACATAAAAAACTTGAATGTTCTCAAAACATCTTTGTGCGAAAGAATAAATAATAAGAATAAAAAGAATATTTCCTAATTTGGTCAAAATTTATATATTATATAAATTTTGACCAAATTAGTGAATTATGGCATTGATTGACATTTTGAATCAAATCATGCAAGCATTTATTAAGTAATGTATCTCACTTAATTCTTTAAAAATTAATTTCATCTATTTTCAATAATTATAATAATTTCAATATCTTATTTCAACTACAGCAAGTAATTTTAAAAAATTTGCCCTTAGAAACTGTTGCTATATAAGTTATCTAATACAAACAACCTTAATAATTTACAAAATTCAAAACCATACAAAATTCTAAAAAGGTTTTAGCTTTTGAGCTTAGATTGGCATTCACATTCCTCATAGAATATCTGGCAGTATTTTGCTAAAATCAAAAAATTAAAAAAGATTACTAATTACCTTAATGAAATTATTTCTGCATCTCTGACAGCCCTTTCCGAAAAATGTAAAACCTTCTTGCGTTTCAAATAACATGGCTTATTTCTATATTAATCTCTATATTTTATGATAATCAAACTTTTAAAAAGTCTAAGCATGATGAAATTTTGTTAAAAGAAGAGTTTTAAGCATAAATTTAATTAAAATTAAACTGAAAGGTTTTTTTATATATATCAGAGATATATTGTCTTATATATTATAAATATATTTGAGATAAGAGCAAAAATTGGTTGACAGAGACAAAAGCAGTAAACAATTGAGATTTGTAGTTAAATTTCAGTGAAAATGTAAATTGAATTGCTAAGTTTATGTTTTAAACAGGAAGACCTCATCTGAAGTTGTATTGTATTAACTCTATATCTTATCTCTCAAAATTTCCCATATCTTATCTCTCAAAATCACACTTCTTATCTCTTAAAATCTCACATATCTTATCTCTTAAAATCTAGCATTTTATCTCTCTAACATCAATCCTATCTCTCAAAAGATAAATTAAAGTATGTTTTTTTTATAAGTTTTTTTTTTAGGTAATGGAAATAAAGAACAATTACCAATGGTTATCAAAGTTCCAAAGATGCACAAATCGCCAATATCTCTTTGTGAACGTCCTTACTCTTTATTGGGGTTTGGAGATATTCTACTTCCAGGTTCGCAACATTTTATTCAAGATTATTGAAAAACTACCATTTTAAATGTTTTGTTTATTTTTCATGTTTTCAATATCTTAGGAATATTTGTTGCTTTTTGTCATAACTTTGATGTATTGGCAAAAACAAGATATAAAGTGTATTTTCTTGCAACAGCTATAGGTGCAAATCAATTTTTTGTTTGTTTATAAATAAAAGTTTCTGTAACATTTTTTACTGTTTACTAATAGTTCTGTTATTTCTGAAACATTTTTTACTGTTGACTAATAATTTTGTTATTTCTAAAACATTTTTTACTGCTTATTTATAATTCTGTTATTTGTGAAAGCATACGGATTAGGATTGGTAATCACATTTATTGCTCTAATTTTAATGGAAATTGGTCAACCAGCTCTTCTATATCTTGCACCTAGTGTTTTGATTGCGGCAACCATAGTTGGAGTTTCAAGAAAAGAAATGCGAGCACTGTGGATAGGCAAAGTGGTGAGCTATAAATATTTTGAATTAAAATTTTCAAAAATCAAATTAAAAACAATAATTAGTAGTAAGTTAAAAAAAACAAGTTTATGTGAATTGTATGTGCATAAAAAATTATATGCTATATATAGTAAAATAAAACTGAAATGAAAAAGTTATCTTTTAAAAAATATTTTCAGGAGTACCATATGACCATAAAAGATACTATTAGTCCCTAATAAAAAAAAGTTTTTTCAAAAGTACATCAACCTGCACATGTATGTATGTTAAATATATATATTTAACATACATATATTTAATATATGCTCGTAACAAAGTGTATATTTATTATCGCAGGGTTTAACATGAGTGCACGTTTACTTCTCTCTGTTAAACCCGTTAAAGCGATAGGTTAGTGGCTGCTTAAAAATTAAATGACAAGTTTTTAACACCAGCGATAAAATAAACTTGTATTCTTATGTTTCTGTTTACTAGGAGTAAATTTAGTTATCGGAAGGCTTTTAATGCCAAAATCTAACCTTGTTGTACCCTACAGTTAAAACTGTTGTCAGAGTTTTCTATAATATTATGAAAAATAAAATGATATCCGATCAAAACAAGCCTAAACAAATAAGTTGGCTTATATAAAAAATAAGCTGTAATATATGTTATATCATATTTATATGATTTATTCTTTAATTATAAAAAAATTTTATGTGTATTATTTATAAACTAATTATATTTTAAAATAAATGATAAGACTTGAAATGTATTTTACATTTGATTTTAATGCACAGTTACGAGCATAATTGTAAATTAAATATATATATATATATATATATATATATATATATATATATATATATATATATATATATATATATATATATATATATATATATTATACGGATATGGTTGTATCATAAATCAATGAATTTTTACCTAAAAACATTTAAAAAAACACCCAGTTTCACTAGGTTTTCAAATGTTTAACTTTGTAGGTAATTCTAGATTTGATTAGATTGACGTAGAACATTCTAGAAATTAGTAGATTGTTCTAGAACTACTAACCGTGACTATATAAGCAATTTCTGCACTCTTAAATTGAAAAAATTGCAAATGTTTTGTATTAACCCCTTTTTGCATAACTTTTTTTATATTGAAATAAACTAATTAATCTAGAAGTATTCTAGAAGTATGCCCTAACATCAAAATATATATATATATATATATATATATATATATATATATATTTTAAAAAAGCTATTTTAAGGTATACAATATGCATAATGTATCATATATGATACATTGTATCATATATGATACATTATGCATTGGAACTTTATGAAGAAATAATAAACTAATGTTTATTGTTAAACAGAGAATTTTTCTTGGAATATTAGCTTGAGAGTTATACACACTCAATAATGACATGATTATAATATAAAAATTTTATTGATGGGAAGGCTTTAAAACAATTGCGGTCCTTATTGAGACATAGCGCAGTGTCACACTTCTTACAAAATGCATATGTCAAGGTGACGTACTTGTCATATTTGCAACGAACCCACTTTTTTATTGAAAATGGTTAATGTCCAATTTGATCAGATCAAATCACTTTATGGGAAATAGTAAATTTTGGACCGACACGTAGTGTGATGTCAGCAAGTGGTGGGCAACCCGTTTTCCATCTATGCATAACCTGATACATAGATAACAAATCTGCTACCACCAATATGAATCTGACAAGTGGAGTTGACAGATTATGCTTCCACCACAAAATCTAGAAATTGATAATGGACATATCAATATAGGCTGTATATGTCTTAATAGATATATAATATATCAATATGTCATATAGGCTGCCCCCTGTTTGATTGCTAAAGATGAGAAGAACTAATAAAAAGGCTTTATAACAAAAGAAATAAAAATAAAACAGAAGTATAAAATTTTAAATTTTTTCCGTAGATGCATGATGTATCATTTCTGATACAGTAAATAAAACAAAAAACTACAAGTAATATCATACTATAAGTGATATACATACAGTGATAAACAATTGATTAGATTATTTTTACAGAAAATATAATAATTTACATGTTTATTATTTTAAATAAACAATTTGATAAAAATAGTATATATAAATTTGGTAATTAATAGCTTCAACCTTCAACAAATTAAAAAGAATCATCAATACGACATGTTCAATCTAAAAAAAAAATCAAGACCATTTATAAGTGCGATAAAAGCCACATTATAACCGTCAACTGTAATTGCAGAACCAGGTAAACGTCAAACAAATAACCATTCACATTTTGATATTTATTATTGTTTTTACCACAGTATCATCGTCCCAAAAAAAAAAAAAAAGACTATACCTTCAAATGTTTGGGATTTTGTCTGTAGAAAAAGAAAAAACCCAAAGTTATAATTCATCTAGTGGACAATTGCAAGATGTATATTTTGAAAATTTGGATATAACATTTTTTCCTGTTATTTTGTTACCTTTGCTTTTGTAATAATATTTATAAAAAAAGCATTGTTGTTAAAATCATACAGAAAGATTTATTTGATAAGCTTAAGAATCTTTATAAACTTTTCTAATCGATTTACTTATTAAATAAATTTAACTAGTGCAGAAGTGTTCACAATATCAGTTTTTATTTATTTTTAACATGGAATGTTCAAAAACAAAAATAAAGCAAGGTGCAAAGAGAAGATACAACTGCTCTATTAGTCCTAAAAGAAATTTTTACCTTCTTAATTATCCTATTAAAAAATTGCCAAAAACCAACTGCCTTCTGTGGGAAATGTGTTGAGATATTACCTGTTTTTAAACTCTGAAAAAGCTACAGATTCAGGCCGTCAAAGTTTCACATCGCCTGTCCACAAAAATGTCTTGGATTTGAACTTGTGTGTTTTAAAAAAGTTTGTGTTAATCATTTTGGGATCAATTGTGTTGTTGCCAAAGTTATTTCTGTATAGATCAAAGCAGGCTTTGAAGATTATATTCAGAAAGGAGCTCAAGTAAGGTACTTAGTAAATTTTGAAATAAAGAATGATTTTTCAGTTCGCACTTTTTTTTTGTTATCAATTAAATAATTTTTATTATTATTTACTTAGGGACAAATTAAAGAAGTTCATTAAAAAATACACTAAAATACTAAAAATGAAATCACTAGAGTTTAAATATAAAACAAAACATAACATAATAATTTAACTTCGAATTAAGTATTTTTTTTAATATTTCAAAAATGGATTTTGAGCAGAAATTAAGAGCAGCTAATAATGATTTAGATGTAGTTGAAAATGATCTAGAATTCTTTAAAGACCAAATGAATGAAAGGAAAATGTTGATTGAGGAAAAATATGATACAGCTTACAGAGCTAGAACTGAAAAGAGGAGACTCAGATTTCTAACTATAGAAAAACAAAAACCAAAAAAAAGAGATTCATAGAGTTCAAGAAATCCAGGATAGTAGTATATCAATTTGTAGTGAAAATTTAGATGGATTTGAAACAGCCATCTGCAAATTTGACTCTTCAACAGATGATGAATTTGGCAAGAAACTTATGAAGAAAAAAAGGTAATTGTAAACTACTACTACTATGTTTTAAATTCTTTTATTTTATTTATAATCAAGTATTTATTTTATTTCCAGAGCAACTTTATTATTAATAGAGGCATATTAACTCAACAACAAATTTAAATAAAAAATTTATTTATTAAACACTTTTAGATTAAAGAAAATGACTAAAATAATCATAGAGCTTACTCCTGATGAGCTTATTGAAGCAACATCAATTGTGGCAGCAAGATATAATATTGGAATACAACCTCAGACCTCAATTATGTCTGTCATTATTTCCAAATCTAATGTTAATTTTAAAGAAATAAACATCTCTAGGTCTTCTGTTCACAGGAAACTGTTTCAGATAATTCAGTCAACAGAGGACCTTCTAAGAAAGCAAGTAATTGATTTATTATTAATAGAGGTAAAAGACTAGTTCTACATTTTAACACTAAACTAGTTAAAGAAATTTCAGAAGACCTTCAAATATCTGTTGTTTATGACAGATTGGCTGTGAGCGTTAGCTTTGCTCCAAATTGTGATGATATATTGTTTGGGATTTTCCAATTAAAAAATGGTACTGGATCATGCCAGGCAATTGAACTACTAAAATTATTAGAATATTACGAGTGTGTTAATCAACTGTTTGCTTGCTGCTGCGATACAACCAGTAGTAACACGGGAAAAAGATGCTGGAGCAGTTCATTTGCTAAGCGTAAAACTTAACCTCTTTTTAATATGGTTGTTATGCAGGCATCACATATATGAGCTGCATATGTCCATAGAGCACTATATTTAAAGTTAAAAAAAAAGTGGAATGAAGTTTGTACAGTAGTGAACACTCTAAATAATATTGTAAAAATGAGTTGGGATAACCTAGAAGTTGATTCAGTGTTGTACATTCTTGCAAAAGATGCTCTTACATTCTGTTCAAAAGCTCTGCTTAAAAATACTTTTGCAATAGGTGATTATAGAAACCTTTGCCAGCTTGTTGTTTTTTATCTAGGTGGAAATGTAACTAATTTTAAATTCCATCGACTTTACCTCCTTACATTAGAAATGACAAAAAATGTTGTCAAAATAATGACAGAAAAGGAAGAAAATAAGGTACAGAAGGGAAGTTTTTTTAATGCAATTCTTTATGCACCATGGTTTTTAAAAAGCTCTCAGTCTTTAAAAGCACCCAAGAACAACCTTGATGCTTTAAGGGCAAGTCTTAAAAATACAAGAGCAATACGATGACCAATTAGAGCAGTCTTTAACAAAGAGTATAAAACGACACTCCTCAAATTATTCCAGTTCTTGATGCCGAAACAACATTATCTCTTCTGGTTGGTCCAGAGTCTTGGTATCTTTTTAAAGTTATTGGAATTTTAAAAAGTGAAGTTGAACAATGGGTTTACAGTGGAGTAAAATCTTGGGATAATACTGAAAGTTTTCATAAGTTCTGTTTATTTGTAAAATATCTCTCTACTACTAACGATTGCGCAGAAAGAAACATCAAGCTTATACAAGACTTTGTGAAGGAATCTACAAATGATAATCAAAGGCATAATATACATAGAAAAAAATTACAAGCCAAAATGCTAAAAGATCAACTCACAAAAGCATATACTTTATAACTGTTTTCCTATACGTTTTATATAATAAAAAAATATTTTTAACTTTGTGATACATTTTTTCTCTCTGTAACAGTTGTTTATTTTATTATTTAAATTTGCAAAATAAACTTGTAAGTTGGGGTTTTTTATATTTATTGAAGGATAATTGTCTTGGTAATATGCGCGTAAAATCGTAAAAAAATATAAATCTCTCTGAATTTATAATTACACATCTAGCCAACTTGCAAATTTTGGATCAAAATTTTTTATATATTCTATTATTATAGACCAAATCACATAGTTTGGAGGGTATAGTCTCTTGGTTTTCAAATTTTCATCGTTTTTTGGGACACCCTATTGTCCATTTCATTAACCTAGACAATAAATCATACAATTAATATATACATACTAATTAGTTTTCTTTATTTGCTAATTTATTAATACTTATAATTGTTATCTATTTTAACTAACTTTATAAATATGCATCAACACACAACTTTATAATTATGCATCAACACACAACTTTTTGATTGTTCTATATAAATGTTGTCATATGTTGGGTAACATTTATATCAACAAAATAAAATTTCGGGGCTTTTTTGTTCCCAGGCTCCAATCATTGCAATTTTTTGCAAAAATACTTATTTGACGTAAGTATAAACAAATAAATGTTTGGATTTACTCCATGTCTGGAAGTTAGATATCTCGAAGACCAAAAAATGCTGGCGCCACCCTTGATAAATGTTACCTGTATGTTGGTAACATTTATATAAAACAAGGCATTAACAAATAAATTATTACTTATAAATGGTAGTTTAAAAAAAGCTTACTTCTTCTTTCAATCTATCTGAAAGATGTAAAATATTATTTCTATTGCCAGTCAAACTTGCCTGCTTATAATGCAGTAATTTGAATAAAATGTTAAAGTTAAAATAAAAGGTAATTCAAAAATTTATTATATTTTAACTTTACTATTTAAAGCATAATAAATATAATAAATATGTAATTTATAAAGAATAGTAATGTAAATACATAATAAATATAAAAGTGTGTGTATAAATTAATTTATTTTTACTTAAGACAAGCACCTCACATTAGTTAAATATAAACAAATAAAAGTAATTGTATTATAATATATAATAGTGTATTATATATAAAGATTGCTTTTATGTGCTAACATTTAACTCTAAAGTAAAATTTTGGCCATTAATTAACTTCCCTTTCTAATATTTTGAAAACATTACCGTAGTTTTTCTTCTCCACTTAGTTGTTCTTGAAACATCTTTACAAGTTGAATCCCAAAAATTACGCTTATATCTTTTCTGGTTAATTCAAACTTAATTCACCTTTTTAATTAGACAGCTTTTGAACTATTTAAAAAAATATTAAATGTATATAAATTCATCATTTATATCATTGTACTGACAATGATATAAATGATGAATAACATTATTTATATTGCCAATCAAACCTGTCGGTTTATAATGTAGTCATTTAAATAAAATAATAAAGTAAAAATAAAAGAATTTATGCACAAACTAATATATTATTTACATATTCTAATGATTCTGCTATTTAATAGTAAAGTAAAAGCATAATAAATATCTTCACAAGACCTACTAAAAGATCTCCACAAGACCTACTAAAAGATCTCCACAAGACCTACTAAAAGATCTCCACAAGACCTACTAAAAGATCTCCACAAGACCTACTAAAAGATCTCCACAAGACCTACTAAAAGATCTGGTCGCTAACTAAATCCCAACTAGTTGCATCAACAAAAAGATAAAAATAACTTAACTAAAATTGAATAAAACATTTACCATAAAATAGAGTGTTTTAAAACTTAATAAACATTTACCATACAATAAAGTGTTTCAAACATTTTTATGCAAACTAAAGTCATTAAAAAAAAATTAAAAAAGATAGTAATAGTTATCTCCTGCACATTAGTTATCCAATTTTATCCGATATACTGCTTATCTGAGTATATCTAATACACTAGTTATCTAATGTACATAATGTAATGTACATTAAAACTAAAATATTTGTGATAAACGAAATAAACATTGAAAATCAAACTGGTTCACTTGACACACTTGCTAGACTATTGCAAGTTATGCAAAGCTATCGGCATTAGCTGGAAAAACGGAGACTCAAGGCTAAGACCAAGATTTCAAGCTTCAAGACAAAGACAGTTAAAAATGATTCTTGATTCGTCTCGGAACCAAGATTTAAGTCTTGAGACCAACATCTCTGATAACATCATATTATGATGCATTTTAAAATGCATACATTTATCATACTCTAGCTATTGCAAGTATGTCTAGTTGTTTATGTATGTTTATTTTAAATTATATTAAATCTGATGCATTATAAAAAAAACATAATTTATAATCTTACTAAATACAGAAAAACAGAAGAATGCAAAAAATATTATTTTATCAAGTTACGAATGGTTGTAACTCTACGAGTTACGACGGCATCTTTAAACGCGCCTTTGTAAAATCCATGGTGCAACATGAAAAAAAAAAACCATGGTTCACCCATAGAAGTTCCATGGAATTTCAATTTTCATGGGAAAACCATGTTTTTTTCATAGAATTCTATGGGATTTCCATATTTCCGTAAGGGATAAGACATTTTTAATTGCTATTTTCTTTAATTTAGTATTATTTAACTACATAGAATACAAATAAAAGACATGAGGAGACATTTTTTAAAAATATTGTTTTGAGCACCAAACCTATATACACACACTCATAATGATTTTGTTATATTTACATACATACATATAATATATATACAGTAATAGTAAATTAAATTTGTTTTTGTTTTTTTTTACAAGGAGACTCAAAGTCCGGATTCTAATGTTGAAAATTTTGATGAGCAGCGTTTACTTCTCGACAATCCTTAGGTCTGGACAATACTTAGGTTAATAAAAGTAATAGAATAATTTTAATATTTTTTTCAAATGTATTTCATTTTTGAAAAGTTTGTTTCAATATGAATTACTCAAAAAAATGGACTTGTTAGTAAGTTAAAGTTGTTGGTAAATCGTTATCAAATCGTTATCAAATCGTTTTTTGATCAAGAACTTTTTATATTTGTTCCTTTATTGAGAATTCATTTTCGTCTATAATTCGTATTTATTTTAAAACTTTAAGACTGATATTTATCATATTTGTAGATATTTTACTCTAAACAATTTTTTTACGCATAAAGTTATAAAACACATCATATATTATTATTATTATTGGAAAATAGCAAGCGATATTTTATTTTTGTACAGTAAGTTTTGTTAACTGACAATTCATAGTTCAAGAACAGTGTCGCTTGTATCGTAATTTTGTTTTTCATAGTAAGTTGAAAATTTGTCTTTCTCTAGATAAAAACCAAACTAAATTTTCAAATACTTTAAAGCAACCTTTTTCTTGAACATTAATGGTTTTAAATTAATAGTTTTCACTTAATGACGGGAAAGAATATAAGAAATAAAATGATTTTTTAAATGTATTTTTACTACCTATGTATTTTGTTAATTGTATTATATTTTTTAACTTGTAGTTTCAATTGGTTTTAATTAAGTTTGTGTATTTTTTTGTTTTGTTTTAAATAGCAAAAATTTAGGGTTCGTTTCTTGGTTTGATGGTTTCATTTTGCTTCATTAATTGCAAGATATTAATGAGTTATTTGTACAATGAATCCTATTTCCTTGGTATGTCTTTGTTTCAATCATCTTTTTGGTATGACTTAGTTTTGTCTATCCCCTTGGTTTATTATTCTTTTAAGCATATTTATTTTTTATCTTCGATTTCGGATGGACATCTTTGGCGAGAGGCGATGTTTACAGTTTTATCTTTTAACACACACGTATTGTCATACATTTTAGTATTTTCACCTAAAAACCGGTCTTTTTATCGATGATCGAGTCTTAAACCGGTCTTTTTACCGATGCTCGAGCCTTAAACTGGTCTTTTTACCGATGCTCGGGCCTTAAATAATTAAGTTATAAGTTTAACTATGCTTCTGTTATATGTCCAGGAGCGTAGTTAAAAATATTTTTTCTTTTGCATGTTTCGGAGGATCCTATTGCTTATAAAATTGTTCTCAATGACTTAAAATATTTCTTTTAATGCTGGATGACAATTTTCATATAGAATAGACCGAACCACCTTAAAGAAGGTTCGTTATCATACTTAATATGGTATGTAGTTTGTTTGCATTTAATTGATCAATTCGTACCACTTAAGGAAGTTGCTAAGATTCTTCAAGAGAATCTCCTCTAACACGATGTTGAATACAAATACCTAGAGAATCGGATGGATTGTTAATAAATCTGAATAAGGTAAAGCTTTTTTTTGTTGCTTTATTAATTTGTTTAAAAATGCATCCTGAATTTTTTCCATTCTTTTTTTTTATTTTTTTTTTTTTTTAACAGCTGCATCACCTAAAAGAGTAGGTTTTAAATTATTACTCAAATTACATAGATTGTTTGTTTAAAACTGACACTTTTTTTGGTGGAGTTTAATTTCTTTTATATATTTTTTTTTTTTCTTGCTTTGCTAGAAGGCAGATAGCTTTATCTTTTTTAAAAGTTTCTTTTCTTTCATCATACTTGTGTTTCATCATTGATATTTTGGTTCTTGAATAATCAAGTAGTTGTTTTCCCCCTTCGTCTGTTTTACTATTAGGCCATTTTAATGTTGATTCTGAAAGCACACTGTCAAAGCCTGGATAGTTTAAAAATTTGCATACATAAAAATTATCAATATGTAGTTATCTTTATTTATTTTAAATATTTATATAAAATACTTCATTTTTCATCAAAATGTCAAGTTATGCGCTATTCCTCGAAGGTAGCGAATGTGAAACCCTGACGAACTGCGAACTGGTAAAATGTAAACCTTATTGCGAACCATCGTAGTTAATTTAGCGGTATATTTTAAGGAATTTTTAGCGAAAAAAATTATTTAAAAATAAAATAAAAGGAAATTAAGTGAAACTATACGAATACAATATGAAAATATATATTTTTTTTTAATTATTTGATAAACTGCCTGCCCAAACCAAACCCTCGATGTAGCAGCACTTCGTTGCGAATCAGGCTACAAGATAGTCGTTGTAGCAGCACTCCGCGCTTGTTTTACAGTTAAAAAATAAATATTTTATTTTAAATAAAGCTTTAAAATAGATAGTTAAGAATTGAAGACTTTTTTTATAATTATTTTTATCATAAAAATAATGGTCTTTAAAATATGTTTTGTTTCGCAAAAATGTTCGCGTTTTACCGGTTCGCGGTGCGCAGTTCGCATTTTACCGACAACCGAGGAATTGACATTTTGATGAAAAATGAAGTATTTTTATAAAACTATTTAAAATAAGTATAACTATTTTATTAATAATTTTTTAAAAAAAAACTGACGTTCCAAAAAATTTTGTACGTTTTCAAACAGTCTGCAGTAAATTTCTTGATGAAAAAGACTAGTGTCTTCCAAAATTTGCAAACATTAAAAAAGAAGCAACCATACAAAGAGTTGAAAGTCTGATTTTCAAACGAAGCTGGTAGGGGTTCAATAGCAAAATGCTATCAAGTGGTTCGATAATTCGCCGCAAAGAACTTGTAAGTAGTTTGTCAATGATTCCTAATGCACGAACTTCAGCAATAAATACAAGATTTGTGATATCTTCTATTATAGCCTTTACTAAATTATTTGGATTTGGCCACGCATTAAAAAGTTTTGTTATAATTTCCTTGTGATAATGTAGTGGAGCAGCATCGTAATACAAAATATTAAAACGATTTCCAATAAATATAACATAAAATAACTTTTCATTACAAAGGGAAAAAAATGGAATTAAAATATGAAGCAAGACAAGCTTCCTCACTACTTTTTAAACGAAATGTTTTACATGTGGTACGAACAAAACTAGCAACGCCACTTTCTTACTAATAAAAGCAAAAACATTCTCATAATTATCTTGAATGAAAATTTTTTCCAAGGAATTCAAAACTTTATCAGTTTCAAATGCAAAATTAGCAATTTGTTTTTAGAAAATATTAGTTAAATTCTTCATATTAATGTCGACATCTAAAGAAAGTAAATCTCAATTATTGATTGCAATCGATAAAAGTTTTTCTCCCGATGCTTTTAATTGCAAGATAAATAAAGGATTAGCTGGACTGAGTTCAGACATTTTTGATTTAATTGATGTTATTAACTTTGCAAAATTGAGTTCTTTTTTCATCGCAGAGTTGTTTACAACGTCACAATTATCGTCTATTATTTTAGTAAAGTTCATCAAAATAGTAGCTGCATAACCACCAACCACTTCTGACAAACCAAAAGATAATGTTTTCTCACTTTTTGTTGTAATTTAAAAGTTTTGATAATGTTAAAGATATTTCATAGTATCATTACCATGCAAACAATTGCCAACATTAGAGTTTTTATCTGTCAAATTATTTTCTAGGGCTGCTTTAGCAACTTGAAACTGACCTAAAACTGCAGCTGCATCAACCTGCATTTTACAGCAGCTCATGGTCATCTAAATAAATCTTTTTTGCTAGTTTGTTTGGTACTACTTTAGTGACATCGTTGACACTATTCATACTTACGCTATTCATACTTACTGATATTGTGATAACATTCGTCATGTCTCAGTATGTAATGCTGCAACTTCTTCTTCTTCTCAACTTACAAGATTTTTCATATTGTTTTTATTAATGTAGTTGTTTTTATTTTGTTTTTATATCCAATTGAGCATTACGGTATTTTACTTGTTTATTCAAATTTCTAACATTCAATGATTTTTTTTTTTTAACTTTCATTTATTCTTATAAAGACTTTATTTTTTAATGTTTTTCTTCTTTTTTTTTTCTTTCTTTTCACAATAAAGTTTTTTTTAACATGGTTTAGTTTTTTCAATTAGAGAGTTTTTTGAAATAAGTATTTGTAGATTGTTTGGCATATCTTCAAAATCCTTTAGATGCTTATAATAATCCATTTTTAAATCCATCAATGATTCAGGTTTCCTTGTTAAAATTTTTCTTTATCGAGCATTTTTTTTTTTTTTACTAATAAGGATTGTGTCTTTGGGAACTTTAGAACTATTTGATGTATTATTAGGAACATTTGCCACTTTGGAATAAAAGCTTCACCTAATAACAAATCCAACTTTTTATTTTTGCGTTGTTTCTTTAACTTTCTGACATTATCAACTAATCTAGTCATCTTTGTCACTAACCGTTTGTCAAAGCAGAGAGGTTAAACATTAAAATCAATGCAAAATCTATAATATTACTGCATTGTAAGAGGTATATTTTAACGATAAATATCACTCATAAATTTCTTCATTAAGCATTTTGTCAATTTTTTCATGAATCAAGTCAAATAAAATATATACATTTAAATCAATCTTAACATTATACCTATATCGACAACTGTAAATTTAATGAGCTATAAGGTTATTTATTTATTAAAACAATAACGTTTTAAATAATATTTACGATGTTATATATGAAACTTAGAGGTAAGTTACAAAATAATAAAACTTAATGATATATATACAGATAAATAGTTTTAAATAGTTGTTAATTAGATGATCTAACTAACAACTATTTAAAATTATTTATTTACTTATCAGTAAATAAATAGTTTTATTTATTTACAAACTTCAAATTTAAATCTAAATATGAAATTAAAAATAAATTACTTCAGTAAATCTTATTTTGAATGTTATTAAAAAAAAAGGTTATCAAAAAAATTCAGTTAGATATATAAAACAAAATCATACTTATATCAATAGCAACATAAAAACAGAAAAATATGCTTATTCAATAATAAATGCTCAATAAAAATAACAGATTTTTTTTCCATATGGAATAGTGAGTAGCTGAGTAGAAAAAAAACCGTAGAAAGTTTTCACTACGCTTACTTATGTAAATAAAACAGGGCGAAACTCACCTAAAAGAAAACAAAACATCACCTAAAAGAAAACAAAAACCTACCCAATATAAACTTAAAATAAATAAATTTGACCGTTTTAAACAAGTCACTCGGCAAATGTAGACTCTTTTCAAAAAGTCAATCGGCAAATTTAAAATTTAAAATTGCCGACTAAAATAAAAAAAAAAAAAAAAAAGGTCCTCGTTTTCCAAAATTTGCCGACTGCCATGCCGACTAACTAGTCTAAAAGGGTCCAATTTGCCGACTAAAAATCATTGATGAGGGGTGTAACACCCCCCCCCCCCCCCACACACACACACCCCTATCGCGCCGGCCTT